GTCACTGAGCTAAATCCCCAGCCCCACTTTCAATTTTTTAAAGTCTCTGAGAATATAAAAAGAAACAAGCAGTGGGAGTTGGGCTGTAGCTCAAAGGTAGAATACAAGCTCAACATGCAGAAGGCTCTGGTTCAACCCCAGCACCACACACACACCCACACACACACATCCCCACAAACACATAGCAATGGCTGCCTTTCTTATGATGCTGGGAACACAGTAATGAGGGACAAAGCTACGTTGAGGTTTTTCTCTTCGTATTTTTTAAGCATTTCTATATCTGAACTATGTGTACTTAATATCTATTTTAAGATTAAATATGGAATATTTTTTAAGACTATGGAATATTTTGACCACTAAAAAATCTCAGAAATTAGAAAGACAGAAAAATACACAGCAAAAGAAGGAAGGAAATGACAAATGATGACAGTGTTAATGAGACAGTAAACAGACCACAGAGAAGATAAAAGAGAAATGTGGCTCTTGGGCTGGTAAAGCAGGTAAGCACCAGGCAACACAGATGAATAAAAAAGAAAAAAGTCATAGTCAGTATCAGGAATGAAAAAGCAGATACAGCTACAAAAAAAGAGAGAAAATATTATAATTTTATACTAATGCACTCAAAATTTTAAGCAAGTGAATAATGGCTTATGAAATGGTAATTTATTGAAGCTTCATGATCTAGCATACCTAAAATCTTATAATCATTAACTCCATTACAAAAGTAGTGAAAATCATCTCTACAATGTAGTGGTTTTGTGGTATATTGTAGGGCTGGGACAGCTTTACAAGAGTTTTAGAGCACAGATTGGGTACAGTGGAAATGCCTGTAATTCCAGGCACACAGGAGGCTGAGGGAAGAGGACTGAAAGTTTCTGAGTCCAATGTGGGCAACTCAGAAAGTCGTCTATATCTCAAAATAAAATAGTTGAGTGTGGTGGCACCTTGTATTCCCAGTCTCACGAGGCTGAGGCAAGAAGATCATGGCAAGTTTGAGGCCAGCCTGGGATAAATAGTGAGACTCAAAAAACAAACAAACAAACCCTCCAAAATAAAAGGGCTGGGGATATAGCTAAGTGCTAAGGTGCCCCTAAATTCAATCACAAAAACTGCAAACCAAACCAAACCAAACCTTGAGCTGGGGATGTAGCTCAGTGGTGCAGAGCCTGCCTAGCAAGCACGATGCCCTGAGTTTGATTTCTGGTACCAAAAAAGAAAATAGTAAAAAAAAAAAAAAAAAAGATCAAATCAAACCAAAACAAGTTGTGTTGCAAACTGCTCCAGAGAACTAAAAGAAAAAAAAAAAACACACAAGCTAATTTTATAAAATTAATGTAATGTGGTACCAAAACAACATAAGGACAAACACATGAAAAGAATATTACGGATCAATTTACTTATGAAAACAGCTATAAGTCGATTAAAATATTAGGATATTGAATATAGTATCTATCAAAAATAGTTCATTACTTCAAACCAAAAAGCTCTGCCCAGCAAAGGAAAATAACCAAGAATGAAGAAACAGTATATGGCAAGGGAGAAGATACATATCTGACAAGGAGTTAATTCCAGCACATATAAGGAACTCAATAGCAAAAAATCAAATTACCCAATTAAAAAATAGGCATTTCTCAAAAGAAGACATACAAATGACTAACAGGTATACCAAATGTTCAGTATCACTAATTATCAGGGAAATGCAAGTCAAAATCATCTCCAGTTAAAATGGCTATTATCAAAAATAAACAAAATAACATGCGCTGACAAGGTGAAGGACAAAACAGTACCTATGCACCCTGCTGGTTTGGAGTATCAATTCCTACAGCATTATGAAAAACAGTACAGAGGCTCCTCCAAAAATTAACACAGAACTACCAAACAATTTAGCAATCCTACTACTGGTTACACATACAAAGGAAATGAAAATAGTAGGTCAACGAGATAGCTGTACTTCCTCATTCATTACAGAACATCACAAGAGCCAAGAAATGGGAACAACCTAAGTGTCCACCATCTGATAAATAACCAAACTGTCACACAGACTCACAGCAAAGGAAATAACCAAGAATGAAGAAACACTGGAGCTCTCTTTAGGCATTAAAAGGATGAAATCTTGTCACTTGCAACAATATGGATGGAACTGGAAGTAATTTTTTTTTTTTTTTTTTTTTGGTAGACTAGCCCCAGCCTTTTATTTTTTATTTTGTGGCAGGGTCTTGCTAAATTGCCTAGGCTGAGCTTAAACTTGTGATCCTCCTGCCTCAGCCTCCCAGAGTGCTGGGATTACAGTGTTTGGCACCATGCCCAGCTATTAGGGGTGCCTATGTTAAGTGAAATAATTTTTAACATACTATATTTACAGTACCATAAAGAACTATAAGGTACTCATATATTTGAAACATTTGCATGTAGGGACAAGGGTAAGATACATTTGCATATATCTTACAAAGGCTGTAAGAGATCTAGGACTGGGCCAGGGATATAGCTCAGAGGCCTACGTGCCTGCCTTGCAAGAACAATGTCCTGAGTTTGATTCCTAGTACCAAAAAACCCCAAAGTAATCTAGGACTAATTTCACAGAAGACATACAAGAACTTTAAAGCGAAAATTAAAACCTTATTAAATGCTGCCATTCTGCTTACAATACTGCATTGACTTGAGAGGCTGACACAGGAGGATTGCAACTTGGGCAATTTAGTGAGACCCTGTCTCAAAAAGGGCTGTGAGGGCCAGGGATATAGCTCAATGGACAGTGCCTGCCTGGCAAGCACAAGGTCCTGAGACTGATTTCCAGTACCAAAATTAAAATAAATAAAATAAAAGGCTTTGAATGTAGCTCAGTGTGAAGGCTCTTGGTTCAATCCCTAGCACCACATATGAAACAAAAAAACTTCATTGGCTATCTACTGTTCCATGGATGTCCAAAGTCCTCAACACAGCCACAAAGGCCTTTAAGACTTGTGTCCTGTCTCAAGATTATGCTCTCCAGTCTGTGTGGAAATCCTTCAGTTCCTGCGATCAGCCAGGGCTTGCTGTTCCAAGTCTTTTGCAATTACTGACCTTCACTGAGCACGGCCTCTTCTCCCCTCTTCAGTCCCTCCAATGTCAGTTAAAGGGTCACTTTCTTGCCAGGCCTTCTATTTACCCTATGTTCAGCTCCTTTACTCTGTGCTCCTCCTGGGACATGCACTGCACCTGTCATAGGGTTTATCTTGCTGCTTCTTGTGCTGTTTAAAACATCTGTCTCCTAAGGGCAGGACAGGGTCTCTCTGTCACCTTTTTATCCGCAGTGCACAGGGCATGTGTTCTATATATTTGACAAAATGTGGTCTTTGCCCTCAGTTCTTGACCCAATGGAGTTATAAATACAGAAAGAAGTAATTGGAAGATGATTAAATTAGTAACTCTAACAGACCATATGTATGAAGAATATAAAACTCTGCAGATGTTTACCAGGATGGTAGCAGAAGCAAGTGTGAATGTGCATGTGTCCACATGTCTATTAAATCTCCCTGTAGAGGTGTGACTTGAATAAAACCTGAATGAGGGGATGGAGCCAGCTATTCAATGATATGTGGAAGACTGTCCTAGGCAAAGGAAACAATAAAATCCATTGGTTCAAGGGACAGAAAGAGGCCTGTGTGGCAGAAACACAATGAGTATTTTTATCTCCAGTCTAGCTTGTGTCCCTGAATTCCAGAATCAAAGCTAACTTCTGACTAATAATCATCACTGGACCCTCACATGTCCAAAAACAACCTAATTTCCTTCCCTAACCCTCTGTCTATGTACTGCAATAAATGACAATTCCATCACTACAGTTGCTCAGACTAGAAACTTTGGAGCCATCTTTAACTATTGGACATCCAACCATCAACAAATCTTACGGCACCACCTTCAAATATAACTGGTATCTGCCTGTCGCCTACCACCTCCCTTGATACTGCTCTGGATAGTGCTGAAGTGTTTAGATCTTATTCTTTTTTGCAAAGCAGAAGAACTGAAAGTTTCCCAGATTGGGCAGAGAAGCAGGTATATGTAGAAGAAAGTTCCTCAGGTGGTTCTAATGTATCACAATCATATACAGGCATAACATGGAGGTGGCAGGAGCTGACAACAGCTCACAAGAATCAACTGGAAAATCTTTGGGAATGCTGCAAGATAGTTTCACCTCACACTGATAGCTTGATTTGGGAATAGTAGGAGTATTTATACCCAAGATAATGGCAAACACTACAATCCAGAGCTTCTCCCCACCCCAGGGATCTGAGCATTCAATTCTTATTAGTGCATCTCTGTTTGTACAAGTCTGCACTACAGAAAGTACAGTCTGGTGGGTATCTCCAGGTTCTCTACAGGTGCCTGTGTATGTTTGTGTATACTTTAGAATCACCTGAGGAACTTTTTTCTACATATACCTGCTTCTCTGTCTATCTGAATTCTCTACTCAGCTAAGAACAAGTGATGCAGGTGAGATATTAAGGAACCAAGAACATGAAAGAGAATCTTTTAAAAGATACCTAAATGCAGAATGGATGGGCTTTGTTATTTACTGTAAGAAAACTGGTTCCTTAGACCACAGGCTTATGTCTGTGACTTTTTGGTTAGCATCTGTCTTTTCCTGCAGACTGTGCATTCTACAAGGGCAGGGGCTGCATATTTGCTCACCACTGTGTCCCAAGCTGAGCTCAATGCTTCGATGCTTATGAACACTGAAGCAAGACCTCACCAAGAGTTAAGTGAAGAATGAGGTGATAATGAGGAAATAGTCAAGGATTGATACTCAGGTTTACAGCTTAGATGACAGAAACGTGGAAGAGATTTGAGTGTGGTTGGGGGACACAGGGAAGTATCTGGGAAATATGAACTTGAAGTGCCTCTGAATATCCAAGCAATATTGTTTAGCTGGCAGATGGCAAGAGTCTTGAGACAACCTGTCAAGCATATGACATAACTCTGCCCTCCTCACTGAGAATGTGGATTGTTGTCTAGGGACTCACCCGAACCTCAGCCTCCCGGGGTCTCCCATTGAGGTCACACTTGGACCCATTGCCATACGTCTGGCTGTGATAGCGTTTCAGGCGATGCTGCTTGGAGGCCTGGAGAAGACATGAGGCAGGGGGCAGGGGATTGCGGGACATGAGAGATCACTAGAAGAATGGCATTGCACCCCCATAAAGACCTTCTAATTGCAGGAATCCAGGCCCCAGGGGAATCTATACTGATGGCCACTAAGCCCCAAGACACTATGAGGTAATCCCAAGCCTCCCCTCTCCATCTCTCAGTCTGCAGCTGGACCCCTCCCCCTCCCAGCTCCTCCCTACTACCACCTTGGCTGTTTCATCATCCCAGTCAAAGGCTGATTGGTAATAGCCAAGATAGAGGATGTCACCTTTGATCTCTGAATCTGCAAGAGAAGCCACAATGAAGCACATTATTTTTTTAAGAGGAAGAGGGAAGGAGACTGGGGAGGCAGGTTGCGTTCTGTGATAGAATGCTGAGGACTTAGGGGAAACGTAAGAGTAAAGTCACCTTCCATGTGATACTGCTGGATGTGACGTCCATAACAGAATTGATATGTCCACCAGTCTTTGGTCTGATAATTAAAAATGAACAATCAGAGGGACAGAGTGCAGGTACCTCTTCTTGGAACCAGTCTTTTGGCTCCAAGACATATAATCTGTCATCTACTTCTCATCTCCTTCTACATTCATTCTCCAGATACTAGTAAGTAGAGACAGCTGTTTTCCCTTCAGTGGCTGGAGATATGCCTCTAAAGTCTGACTTTCTTCCATCTGTGGTCATTCCATTCTCCCCTTTAAAGGTATTTTTAAAAATATTTTTTTGCCCTCCATAAAGATAAGAAATCATGGTATTTGTAGCACTCTGACTAAGCAAACAGATCCCAAAATCAGTTATTAATTGAACTTGTACAACATTCCTTGCATTGTTCTAGTCACTGAGAATACAGCTTTCAACAAGATAAATTCTTTGACTTCATGAAGCTAATGCCAAGATTGAGATCAAAAATTAACAAACCCATTCAGTTAATAAGATTGCTTCAATCCTGAAGAGTTCCAAGATGAAAGTAAAGTAGGATAGGGGCAGGTGGTGACTTTACCAATATATCTAGTTCACCAATAGCCTTAGGAGGTCCCTGGATTGCCCTAGGCACCAGCATTCTAGTTCTGACACTGCTGTTCCCAAGCTCTCCTACTCCATCCATCCCATTTCCCTTACCTTCAGCAAGCAGGGAGCATCTCTCATTGGATTCAACAACTCAGGAATCCCAGGCCCTTGGTAAACAGGTGTTTCCTCTTCTCTTTCACGCTGGAAGTGAATAGCTCCAGCAGGCAGGCGACATTCATAACGCTGTTTGTACTTAGAGGAGACAATTACCACGTCCGAAGCTTGGCTCTGGGAAAGAAGGGAGGGTCGGGGACAGGAAGGTAAAGAGAGGCTGGGTTAAGGGAAAACAACAAGAACTCTCTTCACACTCTGGGAAAGAGTGGGGCGGAGTCTGGGTGTTTCCAATGTGCCTCGGCACCTGACGGCCAACACTCGAAGCTCACCCTTCTCAGTGCCTGGTCCCCTAAGAACAGGTGTCTGCGGTCCCCAGAGGTCACATAACAGCCCTACTTACGCTTCCTGATTTTCTTAGTCGCCCGCCCCAGACTTCACAGCTGCTCTTTCTCCTCTACTGTTCCCCCTCTTCGTTTTCTGCTCAGGACCCTCGCCCCTTTTATGTCCAGTCACCTGCCCTCCTATGACAGGTAACGGCAGGATCTCGATCCCATAACGCATTTCACTCAGTTCCTCCAGGTTCAGGCTCCCGACACCACCAGCCAGACGTGCAGGTAACAGGAACCCCAGGAACAGCGGCCACAACAAACTGGACAGCAGCATTTCGGCCGCCATCTTTCGTTCCCCTTCTTACCCGGAGACACTCCTTCCGCCCTTAACCTGGCAACGGCCTCACTCCGCCCCTAGCTTCACAAGATACCATTGGCTCTGTGTTCTGTCTTTCTCACGTATCTCCTTTCCATTTGTAAACGTGGCTTCAAAACCTACAGGGAGGTAGACCACGACGATTAGCAAATCAAATGCTGCACGCGATAGGTCAGAGAGACCAACCAATCATCAATGAGATTAAACCCCCTCCCTCACTCTTCAACGATTCCAGAGGCACAGTCCTTGCTCTTGATTGTGTGTAGAAGCAATCCTTGTATTCCCCGCCCCCCGCCCCGATTTCTTGTGCGTCTCTACTAACTACTTTTTCAGATGTTTCTTGCAATGTGTCCGGTCCCCGCTGGGCGGAGTATTGAGGCGCACAGATGGGCGTGAGGGCTATCCCTGAGGGTTGTTTAAATGCTTTTTGCAGAACAATTACTTTGCAGAAGCACAACCCTTCTCTCGTACACGTTACTTTGGACAATCAAGTAATTTGTGTCAAAATCTTTTTACACTATCCTGCAGTTGTCTTCCAATAAACTTATCATAAACAAGAAATGGAGGCCAGGTGCTGCGCTCCTGCAATCCCAGCTACTCCGGGGACTGGGGCAGGAGAGCAGCACATTTTGAGACAGCCCAGGCAAACAAGACTTTTGTACCAAATAAATAAATGCTGGGGCCGGGCGTGGTGGCGCATACCAGTAATGCTGGAACTCTGGGAGCCTGAGGCATGAAAATCTCAAATTCGAGCCCAGCCTGAGCGATTCAGCGAGCCCGCCACTTTCCCAAAAAAAATACAGCAGGGAAGAAGCTAAAGACGCTGAGAATGTAGCTCCGTGTTAGAAGCTTGACAAGTTGGGGACTGGACGTGCAGGTAGCGGGAGCTTCCTGTTAAAAGAGCGGGAGGTCAGGCTCCAAGCTGAAAAGCTGTAAGAACTAAGGAAAAGGCGACAACAGCAACAACATTTTGGAAACATAAAAAGTAACGAGAAAATTGCTTGGTAAACAAAGTCAACAGCTTGAAGGTACCTTTGTGAAACCTTCTCTGGGGAGTCTCGCCAGCTCCAAAGAAAAATCCCACAGATTGTTTCATCAGGGTTCTCTTACTGAAATTGGGAATCATGCTGTGAAAGGCGTCGACCTATGGTGCAGCCCTCACACAGACATTCTGATCAGCTTTTTCATGTTGTCACTCTTATCTGTAAGCAGACAACCAAGCATTGTTAGATAACTAAGGAAAGTCTTTAATATAGAAGAAAGAGACCAAAAAAGCAAACAAGAAAAAGGAAATTAGAGGAAACATTCCAACGGAAAGTTTTTTTAAACTTTTAAAAATTTTTCATTAGTATTCTTGGAGAGTTAATACAGTGCATTCATACAATAACAACAGAAGCCATTCTGACAGTCATATAAACTCCTCCCCTGTTCAAAAAAAATTGAAAATCAAAATCATGTTAGGAGAAATAATTCAATAGGAAGACTAGCGGATTAAGCTGGAGTCATAACTCAATGACAGAGAACTTGACTAGCATATGTGAGATACTAGTTTCAATTCTCAGTCCTGAGGGAGAAAAAATATGAAGTTAAAGACCAAATTTGCTCTACTTGAGAGGAAAACTGACAAAAAATTAAAGAATTGGTTCATAAAGTCAAACATTAAATAACAAGAGTCCCAGAAAAATAATACAGAACCAGAATAGAAGAAATTATCAAGTAAATTATTGAAAGGTAGTTCTGTGAACTGAAGAAGTTAGTTTCTAAATGGAAAGGGCATACTAAGCATTCAATACAATAAATAAAACGCACACCAAGCATATCAGCATAGAATTTCAGAACACTGGGTACAGAGAAGCAATTCTAAAAGCTTCCAAAAATTAAAAGGGGCAAATAGCATACATATATCAAAAGTCAGAATAACTTAAGTTTATCAACTAATCGACACTGGAAGCTAAATGACAATAGAAAAATGCCTTCACATTTTTGAGGGAAATTATTTTCAAACTTAAATTCTACACTCAGCCAAACTATGATTTACGTGTGTATCCAATATAAAGATGATTTCAGAAATGCAAGGTCTCAAAATATTGGAACTCTATGCATGGTTTTTGAGAAACATAGAGGATTTATTATACCAAGACAAACCAGTATATCAAAAAGGAGATATGTAGAATCCACAAATCAGGAGACAGCACCAGAGAGAGACACAACCGGAATCCCTAGGAGCAAGGTGGCACATGCCTGGTGATACACTCCTGTAATCCCCACACTTGGGAGGCTGAGGCAGGAGGATCATCATGAGTTGGAGGCAAGCCTGGGCTACAATAGTGAGTTCAAGGCCAGCATGAACTGCATTGTGAGATCCTGCCACAAACAAACAAACAAAGCAACAACCTAACAAATTATTAGGTTATCATCTAAATTAAGTCAGGATTACAAGTAGTCAAAATAATGCAGTTATAGTAACTTGGAAAACATTTGCCAGATATGCAGACTTGAGCTTTGTCTGTCTGTTTTCCAAGGGAAAGGGACAGAAGACTCATCTGTGCTACAGACTCCAAGAGGAGATGCTCCCTGCTGGAACCATTCACAGGGAACTGTGAAAGTTTCTGTAGTGCCCAACCAAACTGGGAGAAGTGGTAATCTTAAATAGGTCCTTAAAACTAATTTTCCATCTAAATATATCTGGAAGGTTTAAAGCATAAACTAGGCCATGGAATCTGCTGAGTAGTGGGAACAGGGTTGATCAAGGGTTGTCACAACTGGGAGGAAGTTGCATAAGTCGTAAGTTATGAGAGAAAAGAACATTATTCAGTTATTTTGAGTATTTGGTGATCATCATAAAATTTACATTCCTCTTTTACAGAAGGAAGGAGAAATAGAATCTATCATCTTTCTGTTTATTTGTTTGTTTGAGACAAAGTCTCGCTGTATAACCCAGGCTGTCTTTGAACCCATAGTGATCTTTCTGCCTCAGCCTCCCAAGAGCTGGGATTACAGGTGTGTGCCACCATGCCCAGTTTCAGAATCTATCATTTTGCAAACTGGAATCTAAAAGTAGATCTGAAAGACCCAACATACAGTTAGCAGCAACAAAAACTCAGTACCAACAACTAATGGCTTCGGATGAAACCTTATTCCAGGTTTCTCACCCAAAGGAGGCTCTTTGCTTCAGCAAACTGTTGGATCCAGACTTTCAGCCATCTTGTTCTGAAGTGGACTTCGTAGGATTTGTAGTTTCTGTTGTGAAAAAAAAATAGGTCTTACTCATCTGGTCTGTTTGACAGATGAATGTCATAATTTTGGCAATCAAGTTTTGGACAGATCTTAATGAAGATATTACAAAGCCTTACATGTTAATTACTGCAAGCAACCTCTAGCGGTAACCAGGATCCAAATCTGGAATTGCTACTTTGTTTGCTGTAGATTTTTCTGTGTTTTCTCCAGTTCAAAAGGTGACCACTTTCAAGAGAGATTTGGTAAAATGAAAAATGCTGATGTACTTTGCAATGATGCAGAAAAGAAGCTCATGTATTTACTTAATGTAAATGATCCCAAGAGGACTACCCCAACTAAAGATAGTATACCAGAGCCATGCACTGCTCAGACAGTCTTGGTACAGGAAACAAGTGTCTGATGATTCTCCAGAAGTGAGATAAATTATCAGAAGCCTTAATCACTACATTCATCAAAAGAGAAGTCTGTGCCCACACCCTGACTGGCACAGATAACCTTAAAGTCTTGTCAAGTGGAGAAAGCAGCAAATGATCCAAAACAAAAACAAAAATAAAAACAAAACTGCAAAAGGAAAAGAGCTCTGAGTTATTGTGGTTTTACTATTACCTTCTTTTGAAGTCCCAGACTGTTTCCATTGTTTTGTTTGTATTGGTTTTATTCTGTACTATTTTGCTTGGTTTTATTATGCCTGATGGTATGGGCAATTCTTCTGAAGATAACAAGAGGCATTATGGTAGCCATTGTTGATCTCCTTGTATTTTGTTTTTAAGTCATGTACCATGTTCATCCTTTTGCTTTGATTGACTCTATTTTGTTTTGTCTCATTTAGTTTTAATCTCTTCAAAATAAAAAAAATTTTAAAAAAAGAACTCTGGGTTTCCCGAGGGCCTTTATCTTCACCTGTCAGTCCCATTTGCACACCTGTTTCCCCAGCCCACAGAAGGCATTTCGTCCACCTCGGATTTGTGGCACCAAGTGCAAAACATCTATAGAGAAAAAGGATTTGAATTCTCCTCCGATGACTCAACTTTATTTATTTATTTATTTATTTTTTGGTGGTACTGGAGATTGATCTCATGAGCCCAGGCTTGCCAGGCAGGCCACTGACCTAAATTCCCAGCCCCAGATCACTTTACTTTATTTATTTATTTTTTAAATTTTTATTTTAAAGAGATTAAGACTAAAGAGGACATAACAAAGCAGATCAAATAAGAACAATGCAAGTAACTCAGCATTTTACCACAAGACAACCCATAATTTACAGTAAATACCACAATGTCTCTTTCTTTGAAATAGTTGAGCATAGTTTCATATACGATAGTACCAAGCATAACAAAACAATATAAAACCATTCAAGAGAATGAAAGCATTACAGGGTTTTCAGAAGCAAATAGTAGAGAACGAACAATGGCTACTGTATTATCTCATTTTCCATAGAAAATTTGTTTATACTATCACCTATAACAATATCCAATAAGATATAATAGTATAGAACCAAAGGCAACAGAAAAACAAAAGCATAGTAAGACTTCAGAGTAAGATGATACTAAATCAACTTTGGCTATTCTAATGTCTTCTTTTCTGTAAAATAGCTGTTTATACTATCACAGATAAGAAAATCAAACAAACTACGATAAAACCATTCCAGTTAATGAATGCAGACATTATAAGGCTTCAGAGCAATGTAATGGGGAATCATGATTACTAAATTCTTATGTACTCTTACCATTTCTTACACTAGGGAGACTATATGGTATTTATACATGTGAGTTTGATTTAT